GAGAAGAAGATAAAATCCAGAAAAGAGTGTATATTTGCTGACTGTCTCCTGGTACCGAACGAATACCGAGATCCTGCCAAAGAATATGGGCGAAGCTACCAAGAGCAGTGTGTCCAAGATGAAAACGAAACAAACGGAAAGTATTTGCACAAAGTATGAATAAACAAAGAGTTCAGTAAAACAATCACTGGTACAAGTGGTTAAAATAATGAATTTTTCTATTCAACCAATCGTGTTTTCTTCGTAAAAGTGGAGTCACTAGAAACTGAAATACAATCCTACCCAGTAGCACTTCAAGACTATCACCTCGTTAATTCAAAAACTTGTGTGAGTCCGATGACGAATAATTTAAAGTATTATTATTAAGTATTAAATCCCGTTAAAATAACCACCATGATTCGTTACAGTAGTGGGGAGATTAGAACATGAAGAGTAGACCATGATCTAATCAACTCATGAGATTGCGAAAGTAAACGAGGTTATAGGTGAAACCAAAAACACGACACAAAAACAAAAGCCTTACATTAAAAATTACGAATATAATTTGGCTGAGTAATAAATTTATGCATTGATTTATATTAGAAAGGTACAATTTAAGTTTATGTACCTTAGAAATATGGTCAAAATCCATTTTTTAAATAGCTTGCTTGATATAGTAAATTTTTTCAGTAGTGCAAAAAACTTAAAACTTTTGGTGATTTATCTAATGGTATAATAATGTTTTTTTTCTGTTGTTTTACAGATAATTGTTTTATTTTGTAAACAGGAAATAATCAACGTTCACTGGCTTATGGTTGATTCATTTGAATAGATTGTGGTAGAATGTTATTTCAGTATTTTTATTCTATGCCGAAGTTCCTACTACTATCACCTAATAAACATTATCGATAACAAACAACTAGCTAATATAAAGCATACACTTCAGGTGACAGAACGAAATTCCACTTAAAAACACAAATGTTAAATGGATGAATTTAATTAACAGAATGTTGAAGCTGGACTTGTCAACAGAATGCATCTTCACTCTTGAAGGAAACCATCATTCCTGTAGGATTCGGAAGCCACCTACCTCGTTCCATTAACAGATGCTGTCAGCGAGCCATTTGGGCAGTGACTTGCATTCACTGAGACTAAGATATTTATTCTCATTGTTAGGTGATACTGATTACTACTCAGTGACGAAAACATGTAAACTATCGAAAATACTTATTTAATGTATGCACATAATTAATTACCAAATTATGTGGATCCTTTTTTATCAAATATTTAAAACTTAAGTCTGTGAATGAGCAGTTATCTTCATATATGATTTATCTGAAGTATCTTATTAAAACTTTTATTTTATTTTCAGGCAGAGTTTCGGAGGTTTGTGTTTTTACACATTTGTAATTATCAATCAATCATTGTTAGATCACCATTAGAAACCTGGAAGCACTGGACGGTCGTTTCGTCCTTGTATGGGACTCATCAGCAGTGCGCATCCACGACTCCTGCGCCTTACAGGATTCGAGCCCGAGACCTTCGGTATTGTGCGCGAACGCCTAACCATCGGACCACTGGGCCGGCATCCAACGGTGTTAATGTCTAACTCTGACTGATCTGCGGATTTCGAGTGACATCACCCTTTTGTCTTTGGTAGTTACTGCCTACACCCGACAGGGTTGAACTTGTTTTATTGTTTGGTTTTCCTGAAAGGGAATACGGTAAATCCATCATGAACAATAACAAGAACACATAATATTAGAAAAGAACAGATAAGTTTTTGTAAGTAATAGTGTGTCCATGCCAAACAAGCTATAAAATCTTATTTCAGATTAAAGAAATAAACAAAATGAAAATAAGAAAGATGTTTAATCGCCTTCTTACCTAAATCTACATGACAAATTAATAATTAAACTAACTGAAAAGGAAACAAAAAATGTAAATGAAGAACGACAAGAAGACGAACTTTGAATTGAGAATGATGCTAAGAAATATCTAATCACAAACACTAAGTAATATTCAGTTGGAAATTCTGTTTCGTTTCGGCTCTTATGCTTTTTTTATTCTATACAAATTTCCCATACAAATCGAAAAATACAAATAAATGTATGTATATAGACATTTTCATTGGACAGGTTTGAAATAGAATTAATTCTTGATTTATTCTCAATACTGTGAACAACAAGGATACGAGTTAGACAGAACACCAATATAATCAATAATCATGTATATAAGTGAGTATATGTATGTACAGTCAGTTGGTTGATAGTTTTTATATATAAATATGGATAGATTGATAAGAACTCATAGACATTGTGTATGGATGAGAAAAATCGTTTAATTCTGATGGACATATTCTAAAGCATATGTTCAGAATTGAGTTATATGTTAATTCTTTTTGCATAATAGACAGCCTATTCACATATATTACTTTAATCCTTAATTCTTTTTTCCTTATTTAATGTTTGTATCCAAAACAGTTTGGTTTTTACTACTCTACCTAATGAGTAAAATAAGTCTATTCTTTTCTTATTGTGGGAAAAAATTAAGTAATAAAGACAAGCAGCATAGGTTTATTTTTGAAATTTATTAACTATCTCAAAGTTTTACTGGAAGAATACAGTTTCAAGTCAGTTCATTTGTAAAATTATTGACACACACTACACGAAGTTAAGTGTAGAAGCTACATTTAATAAATCCATCAACATTAGGTGATATGACTAAGGGAACATTTACGTAATTCCTATCAGAGTCATTCAAATAAAATATGGGCAATAAAAACGATTAATACAAATAGTTCACACATTTTGGTGTCTCATGAAAAGGTGATTTCTTACGAGTTCAGTACTAATCTTTCATTTTCTAGACAGAAAGACTGTAACTAAACGTAAAAATTTCAGAAATCTCTATGTCTTCAACGAAATGATTATATGCGGCACCATATTCCCACACAAGCGCTTACACAAAGTTATATGAGTTTCAATTGATCACACTACACTGAAACAAATCCATCACATCTGCATCAATTAAAAGTCCGGAAGGGCCATGGAGGGCGTAAGAACAAAGGGAGGCACAGATATAGCTTCATACAACCACTTGGTGGTCAAGATGAAACTGAACCAAAACAAGCACTAGTAAAGTGAACATACAGTAATATGAAAGCTTAGTTAAGTCTTTCTTCGAAATATTGTCAGACTCAAAGAATTCAAGATAGCTCTCAATAATAAGTTTCAAGTCTTTCACGGTCTATCTAATAAAGAAGAAACTGCCATGGATAAAAACTGGAGAGGGGTTAAAGAAGCATTAACGACAGCATGTCATGAGATTTTTGGCCACAAAGAACACTATCACAAGGAATGGATCTCTATCGATACTATAGATAAGATTCAAGAATGTAATACAGCAATCATTAACGGTCGAACAGAAGCAGGGAAAGCCAAGGCACAGGCAGAATACACAGAAAAGAACAAACAACAAAAAGGGGCATCAAAGCTGATAAATGTAAATATGTTTAACAACTAGCAGTGATAGAAGAAGAGGCTGCAATTAGGGATATATGAGACAACTATTTGATACAACGAAGTAGCTTGCTGAGAAACCTCGTAAACCAGAACGACCAATGAAAAGCAAGGAAGGCAAAGTAATCACCAACACTGAAGAACGAGGAAACAAGTGTGTAGAGCACTTTGAAGAACTCTTGAGTCTACCGGCCCCATTGAACCCACCCGCCATCAAAGCAGCACACATGGAACTCCTGATTAACTTTGACCTAAAAAAAATTAGAGTCAGCATAGACATCAGACAACTCCGCCAGTAGAACCTTCGGGGCTACTGCCGGTCCCAAGCCCGGGTAAAGGAGGAGGGTTGGACATGGGGTTGGCGACCCCATTCCGTCAAAAACTAACTTGCCAAATAAAACGCTAACCAGAAAAAAATGGACATCAGACAAATTAGGAGCGACAAAGCCGCAGGACTAGACAACATTCCGGCTGAGGTATTGAAAGCAGACATAACAGGAACTACAAAAATGTTGAACGCTCTTTTCAACAATATTTGGGGGGAATTACATGTACCAATGGACTGGAAAGAAGGACATCTAACGAAGTTACTAATGAAAGGAAATCTCAACAACTGTGAGAACTACAGAGGCATCACTCTAAACTCAATACCAGGAAGCCTTCAACAGAGTGCTTTTGAAATTAATTAAATATTCAATAGACAATCAACTTCAGAATCAACAGGTCGGATTCTGTAAAAACTGATTCTGTACCGAACAAATAGCAACAACACGGATTAATGTAGAACAATTAATTAAATGGAATACATCACAATAGAACCTCTTCTTTGAATAAGAGTTAGCATTTAACGGATTGAAATGATGAAAATAACGTTGTGTTGATGATCAAATACTGACGTAATAATGCTTGTTATATAATTTTCTTTACACTTATAGTTCTTTTTTCAATAATAATATATATATTGGTTTTTGTCTATTAATTTAGCGGTCATTTGTTGAATTCCCAAATTTAATCGTATTGAATTACTTACTAGTTAAATTGTATTTTTTGTTTTGTTTTGCAAACAATTAATTTTCCTGATTTTTCGAAGATAGCATGAAATGATTCAAAGTTATTTTCAACTAATTATTTCATTTGCAATTTTGTTAAACACGATTTTATGATAAGATAGTAATGACTTTATAAGCCAGTTCAAAGAACCAGGATCCTTTCACAGCTCAATCAATTAGTTTTTTTTTCTCGTGTAATTAAACAAATCTCCGTTGCGGTCTAACACGTCCACTCCTTAACTCTACTGAACACTTGTTAGTGATCAAAGTATAATTATCACAAATTAAAGATCATAAAATGTAAAGTTTATTGTTGGTTAGTTTAAATGATTTAAAATATTCACTGAATGTAAATTAGAAAAAAACTATTTTCAATATTTTAAAATATAAACAAATTATTGATGATAAGTATAAAATAGGAAAATTTCCACAGTAAATAATTATCACTTACTTTGATCTTCTTCTAAACCTAAACTTAAAATTGCTCGAAGTATTGAATCAACACTATTCACACCTAATAGATCAAATGTTTTATTTGATCGATTAGGTGTACTTGTTCCAACAGCATTGTTATATTTGCTAGAAATCTCTTCAGTTGATTTAAGTGCTCTTTTTTTAGGTGAATGATGTGAATAATCTTTGCTTGATGATAAAGCAAGCGATAATAACGATCCATTAATATCATTTGTGGAAGAGGTATGTTGAAGTTCTTGTATAAAATTTTGTTCTGCATTTTGAGTTCGTGTTATAAGTGATTGAGATACCTAGAATGGATAAATTATTTTTAAAAAAATCAAAATAATTACACATTTGAATATTTTTATTGAAGAATTGAATGTGAAACGTTCATTTTAATTACTTGTTTTGGTAAAATTTAATTACTGCGATTAGTTTAAGACACTGAATGCTTTTGGGGCGAAATATTAATAATCATTATTTGTTAAAAATGAAAATTATTTTGAAATGTCAAACTCGTATTCATCCCATAATATATGTTTTGTTATGCATGTGATCTGTAATATACAAAGTTATCACTGCCTACTCTCAATAGCAATATATCATCCTATTAATGAAGAATACCAATATATTTGATTAATTAATCCAATCTGTAAAGGTCAGTATAATTGGTTATTAAATTATTAATACATTTAACATCTTAAATACTATATATATAAACTTATTTTGTCAATATTTTAAATATTACTATACACGACAAATGCTGTCGAATACTGGAAATCAGTTGAAGTTCTCTAAGACAATTAGGTAAATATAAATATTTTACATCCCAGAGAATGATGTGAAATAAATGAAATAAATAATATCAGTGACAAGAGTACTCTTAGGAAAAAGATTTTCATATAATAGCATATTTCGTAGTGGACTATTATTATAATGAATATAATCCTTTTAGAAAATACTGCACATAACACAATTAGCAGTCCAATATTACTATGCGTTATTAAGTATTCTTTGTTATTTTCAGTAAAGTAGTTGGTACTTTTAATCCAAAAGCTTTCAAGGCAAGCAAGTCTAATTTATAATTCAACAACCGATGCCATCCTTTTCAATTACCAATGTATGTAGCTAAAGATGAAATATGATATAGGGCCTAAGTAAAGACATTTTATAGAAGTGTTTCATACCTCCACATGTATACTTAATAAATCATCAATCAAATCACAACGTACTTCCTAAATCATGCGTTCATACATTAGAGAAATTTCCTTCAAACTATTGTTAATAAGTAGATTATAATTATTAGGCTTGTTTATGAATTAAGAGCTCAAAAATATTTTTCCCATTCATTGAATTTAAATTTATATCTGATATTTTCGTGTATTCTACTTCAATGCTACTTTAGAGATTATCTCAAGTGAACCAGATTGTTGACAATGATAGTTCTGATCGTTTCAACTAGGTGATCATTACACAAAATTACAATTCCTATTTTATCCATAGCTACAAATTGGATTCATTTCGAGAAACGAATGGCAAAAAGGTTTTATACATTTCATTTCCAAAAAATAAACTCATTTGCCTATACCTATGGCATTTGTTGTTAGGTCTACTATTTGGAAACAATGTAATTAGTAGTGTAAAATATCAAAAATATTTTTTTATCAATTAAGGATTATTTTCTCATTCATCGGTTTATGTTATTTCTTTCAGAAATAAATCAAATCGAAATTTCACATCCCTATACTATAATTTATCAACTAAATCATCATAAAGTGATGAATTTAATATGATCCATTGTTAAACAGTAATATTTTTAGATTACACTAACAAAATATGAAATTATATAGTAATTAAAAGTACAAGTATATTAAATTAATTTACCAGCAGAAATGCTGATGGATCGCTTTCTTTCAACATTTCAATACAAAATTGAATAAGTCCAGTTGATTTAGTTAAAAGTGATGTGACACGATTAATTTGATCCTTAAGACAATGTATGCGTTTGGTTCTTTCCTCTCGAAGACGCTCTGTTAGTTCCTGTTTTTTTGTTTCGATTGCAGAAATCAATGCGTCCAATTGTTCAATAAGTTCTTTTTCTGAGTCTGCAAGATTTCTCTAAAAAAATGAGAATCAGTAAATTAATGTTATTGTAATATGTAAAACACGGTTGCTGAAAGTTAGGTAAATGTATCTGATTATGAACAAGATATGTGGATTGTATTTCTATGTTGAGCGATATATCATATCGACATTCTAGAAAATATATCGAGCTAGGATTAAATGGATGTGCTCGGATTTCTTTAGAGCCTCTGAACGCTTTTAAGAGCCAACCCTTCTTCGAGATATTCTGAATAATATTTCCACCTGTAGTCCACTTGTAATCTTAATGCTTTGTTACGTTTGAGGTACATGTCCCGTGATGGTTGGGTCTCCTTTACCCTTTCTCGTCTGAACCTCTTAATTACTTGCTGAACAGCTCTCCTATGAAAACGGGCGAGTAACAAGTTATAAACTAGATCTCTTATTTCCGACTGGCTGGCTGAATCACGTCACTAAAATATAAAGTAGCCCTAATAGATCTAAACTAATCGGCATTAGGTTACTGATCATCATGATACTTCTTGAATCCAATAACCTGAAGCCTAAGGAGATACTTAAAAGTTTCACGATGATTTAATAAATTCCGTCTAATCATCATCATTGTTATCGTGATCGATGCCTTACCTCCAGACCACTCAGCTCAAATCCTTAGGCTTATGAATTCGATTCTAATTAATCCAGTGTATTACGCAAACATCTTCCATTGTTTCCGGTGGAAAACTTCTACTCATATCCGACTGACCATGAGTTCCCATTAGAACTTTAGAAATTTTCTTTTGAAGCAACTCATTCGGAAGCACGTCCTAACTGTCAATATTCTGATCTTGGTAATCTCCCAAAACCTCAGACTGCTAAAAACTAAACTTATTTGATTACGTCAACTTTATTTTCTGTAGCCGTGATTTGATTTTTAATGATCCAAAACTTCTAGTACTAGACCTCTACAACGTTCAAATAAAAATTATTAAGCCGGTTATACAAGGTTCACAGAACAGGAAAAAACTATTCTCTGCATTTTTTTCGCATAAATATTTTCTATCATATCACTTTATATGGTTTGCATTTCATGTTTATTTAAGACATATTACTGACAGTGTTATAAAGTAGCTGATATTCAACAAAGGATTCAATACAGATCACATTGTTTAAGATTTCTAACATTTCGTGAGTATATACTTATCTACAGCATTTATCGAAGCAGAAATCCATGAATAATTTTTAAGTTACTTAAAATGACCACTTATTATTTACTGGTTGAATCGATAGAATTCAATTAGCACTAAAGACTAAAATACAGGAAATCCTTTATCACTAATTCATCAGTTTGTATAAGATAATCCTCTTACATTAGATATCCTTATAAATAAGGTTACAAGATTATCAAACAGATCAAAACAAGGTCACTTACATTAAATCTACTTATTAAGAATTTCCTTTCTATAAATAATCTGTATAATGTTTGTTTTTTTAATAGTTTTCCGTTGGATTTTAGCTGGTGGAGAAAATTAGACTCTATAAACGTGTTTACTCTGGTAATAATCGTATAATTACTAGCAACTTCTTTTGACACTGTGTGCCGAAGTTCTAGTGAGAAGTTGTGACGGCGGAATGAGGCTGTCGCTCATTAAGCTTATTAAATAACTACCACGCGTTTTCGCGGGCTAGAAATGTAAATTACCAGGGTTCTACTCAATAAAGAATTCTCTCCTAGCATCAACATCAGGTCACTAAGAGGTAGCAAACAGTCTCAAAATAGAATAAAACATCTATTCGGCTGATATCAGGTTATGAAGAAATCTATGTCTAAATTCTCAAATTAGATAATGCATTCATATTGATTTAGTTTTTATTTCCATTCATCGAACTTTATAAAAATGATACTAATTAGCTGACAAATAATTTCGGAATAAAGATTTGAAAAATAATTTTTAAAAAACCATTAAATTATAATTCTTTTATAAATTGTCAAAAAAGTCATACATTCATTTATATGATAGTTCATCAACACTTAACAAACCAACAGTTGAGGCGAATATCAGTAGGGAAATACTGTATATACTAACACTTTCAGCGTCTTCAACCTACAACACGTTTAGGAAATATAATAATGTTTCCCATCCTGACAGCTTGCAATATGCACACTATGATTACTTTCAATATATTTACAAATTACTTTGAAATGATTTAGAATATCTCGTTGTTGATATTTTCTACTAAAATCTGATCGATCTTGGTTGGCATATGGGCATTCCATGTGGATTGCCTTGAAATATCCATTATGGCACGAGTTGATATAGAGTAAATGGGAGTTGGCTAGCTGTAGAATCCAGGACTCACCTTTCCTCTAGCTGACGAGTCCCAAATAGGACAGGAAGCGCATTTTGAATTCCATTGCTGGCCAAATTCTATCTTTTCTATATTTGGACATTGATTTCATCATACAGCCTTATCAAAATGTTCCGATCTTATTTGAAATCACTAAACATTTTAATTCCTTAAATAATTTTTTTCTTTTCAAAAACTATTTATTAACCTCCTAATCCCATTGAATCAATTATTTCCTTCTTGTCATTAATTTTCATTGTCTGTAACTGACATTTATTCACATAAAAATTCAATGTCACGGAAAGTTTAGAATCATGTTTATGAATTTCAACATAGGGATGAAGTATCAAAAAAAACATAAGGTCGAATGATTTTAGTTGTTTAAAAGGCAACGAGTTTCACGTTCATATTTATCATTGAGATGTTTTTGGATTTTGAATTTTGACAGATTTCTAAACCATGTTTCCTATGGTATGAACATGATCAGGTATCTACACATGTTTAACTAAGAGGGGCTACATTTCTGCCGAGCCCTTGAGAAATTGTTTACTGACATACATCAACAAATAAAAAAATTAGACTTTGGTAAGCAGTGAAAGTAGATAAATAGCATTTATAGCAAACAGGTAATAGTTAAAATCCAAAAATAAAACCACATGTAAGGAAAACCTTTATGAGGCGAAAATGTTTACCAAACTGGCCAGAATTGAAGAAGCCAAAAGCTACTGTGGGAGAGAACAAGCTAGATTCTGGCTGAGGAAGAAATTAGGAAATTACATTGGAGGTCAGTAGGACACACGCTGAGGAAACCATCCAAATGCATGACGAGGAAATCCCTAACTTGGAATCCTCACGACTGAAGGGAAAGTGGAAGACCAAAGGACACATTACGACGAAAATTAGAGACAGATGTGAAAAGAATGAACAGCAGTCTGGTAGAAATGGAAGGGAAGGCCCAGATCAGAGTAGGCTGGAGAATGCTGGTGGGAGGCCTATGCTCCTCAGGGGTAACAGGTAAACTCAGTTAAGTGAGTAACTGATTCGTCACAATTCATAGCTCGTTTTTCTTATTATTTAATACGATGATTTGGTGGGAACATTTTAGTACTTTCGATTAAATCATGACACATTTATCATATGGATCCACTAGGAGCAGCATGACTGATGAAGTGTAGTTGCGTGAGCAAGAAAAGCCATGCTGTAAGCAGTCTGATAAACAAATGCAGCTGCTGACCAATCGAATTAATCCCTAGTAATGCAGTGACCATCTAAATATCTTAAAAATCTGTCTAATGTTTTTACATTCTTGTCTTACATAGTGACTCCTTTATCAACAGATATAATGATGATATTTTATAATCGCATTTTATTCAACCAGCTGAACTGAAATATCCGATAATGGATACAACATACTGTTATTTTCATCATCTTTTTTCAATATATATTTATTTACATTACTATTATTTTATTTGATTAGGTTTAGTATCCATATGTATTGGCTAGATAAAAACATTTTACACTTATTATGTTTTGCAATGCTCTGCTCAAAGACTAATGTTATATTTATTCATTAAAATCAGATAAGTCAGATAAATAACTGATCATCAAGTCATTATCATTTCATCAATCAATCACTTCTCATTTCTCTAAAAAATGTGTTGATAAACAGAGATAAATGTGACTTGTTTTGCTTCATGCCATATCTGTTAAAGTATCTCTCCTACTTTTTATACATAATCAAATAGATAGTTTGTTATATGAATAAATTGAGTGTTAGGTTAGTTGAGGAAGGATTTAAATATAATTTAAACTTCACCATAAAATGATTTTTGCTGTATTAAAGATTCGTGGAGATTATTAGAACTCTATAATTTATATAACGGATGGACCTAAGCTATGCAATCATCAATTCTCAGTGTGGTCACTTGTGCTCGCTGCTTTGCAGTCTTATATTAGGATGAAGTAGTCATTTAATGCTTTCTGATTTAAAGTAGTTGTTTATACATACTGAAATAATCAATTAATCATTGTTAGACCACCAGTAGATGACAAATAGTTTAATCACCTATAAGTGTGAGCTCATACTGCTATTCAGATAGGCCATGAAAGACCCATGATGAATCACCAAGTTATGAGAACACAACTTTTCTAACATTCGCTTTTGTTATTGACCATTTCGCGATTTCAGAAATACAAAGTAGTTATGTTTTGTGTGATATTACTAAGTTTACTCAATCTTTCATTGGTTCGTGAATTTATGTTAGCTTGTAGTGAAAATTACATTCAAACTACAACCGTGTTATGTGATACCTATTGGTTTGCTTAATTTCTTATGCTTATTACCTCTCATGGAACATAGGCCGCCGACTAGTACTTCCCAACCTAATTTGTCCTTCTCTCTTCATCAACTTATATTCATTATTTCGGTATCTGCCTCCGATTTACGGCATAATGTGTTCTTGTGTCTTTCCGCCTTTTGCCATGACGATTTCATGTGAGGGCTTTTCTTGTCACACAGTTTGTGGATTTCCTCAATGCGCCTTATCCACCTCCAACAATTTTTCCCGATTTCTTCCTCAGCGGAAAGCTGGTCTGTTCTCTCCTATAGTAGGTTGTTGCTGAAGGTGTCTGTTCAATGGATAGAGACTATTTTGCTACTACTGGTACATTCCTGTACATTTCGAAGGTTTTGGTAGTTCTGCAGGTTTTCACTCTATAAAACAACACCTTTTCGACGTATTTTTTGAAAATTGTGACTTTGTTGTTGGTTTCAGATATTGTTAGATTATAGAGATGTTGAGCTTCCCTTGCAGATCCATGCCTTCACATATACATCGGATACTACCTTATTTTTAGTTATGCTGACTAGCTATGAGGTTTCTACATCTTTCAGAGCTTCTCCGTCAAGTGTGATTTGGTAGGTGTATATTGTACTGGATGAATTTTAGGGCCTAAGGCTGCTAATGCAGCTGCAGCCGACACTGTTTATAATGTTTACGTAAATAATTTCATTACATCGTTGTTTAAGCTACTTGAAGTATACACTCATAACTATGATATCTCATGTATTTGCTTACTTTTATGATAAAATTTTATTTTAATTCAATTCAAAAAAACTTACATTAACTGTTTCTGATTTCGATCTTAAACGTTGTATGTGTTCCGTCGCTGATCGAGCTCTTTCTGATAGTGCTTGAAGTGATTGGGATAGTTCGGTCTAGAAAATAATAAGAAAAGTCAAACAATTTCAGTTAATCAGCCTGTTAACATTAGAATCTTTTAAAATCTACCTAAGTTTCAAGTTTCAATATATGTAGTTTTAAATTTAAATATTACTGGCTAAACTTGAGAATCAAGTGGAGTATAATGTAAGGATAATACGCTATGGTCATCATCTTTAGTGTATGAACTGTGTGTACTAAATAGTTTAAGCTGTATTTCGACTGCAGCCTTTATGTGTTTCCTGAACATATCTCATGAACATCTAATTTATATTGATCTGCGTTACAGTAGGTTGAATTTCCAGCAAGAAAATAATCTATTACTGACCAATCCTAATATAAAAGTGTCTGCCTGTTTAGCTACTGAATTACAACGTCTTCTGCTTTGATGAGCATCACTAAACCATCTAAAACATGAATTACACAAGCGGTCATTATACTTTACATAGATTTCGTTACTCAGTTGTTTAATCGATCATTCTATTAGGTTAAAAATGAGTTCTAAAGGAGGTAGAATGATCACTGAAATATATGCAAATGTAGCCGACAAATTTATAAATATTGTTTTAAAAGCATCTTAAAAACCAGTGCAACTAAACTTGTGTCCTTTGTAATTGATGCATCAGATTGATACCACTAAATTATTTCAAACTTTCTATTATGACATTATTCAGTTTCATTGTCCAAAATATGAAACAGACACTTAATCTGTTACATCTTAGTACTTCCTTTTGATTTGCATTAGGTAATTTACTTTCAACTAAAGTACAATGTATTTATTAAAAATAGTTGTAGTAACCTCTTAAGTAAAATAAACAATTTGAAAATACTATTTTTAAAAATTTACGATAAACAAAATACTTAATGCATAAAACTACTTTCTAGAAATATTAATTTCACGGATTTTGAAAAACTTCAACAATTCCTTTAATTCGTAGTTTTTATTTCCTTTAGCTTTGCAAATACAAAGTGTTACAACTAAAAAAAAATTATTACACCTCCTTCCTTATGGATAATTGATTTTGTTTTAAACAAAAGTAAATTCATAAAGTAACAATTAGTAAATGAACGTTTATGTATTTCTATAGTATACTAGTCAAAAAGTAGACTTAAAAAATTAACTTTATTAATTTACGTTTACTAAACTGCACGATTTAATTTAACATCTTTTATGAACTTGTTCCTCAGAATCCCGAATTCTAATGACATGTTTCGAAAGTACAGTAACTTTATTCTTATTTTATTTGTTTTTATTTAGTTCAAAGTATAGTCAGTCGTTCATCCAACCAAATGCAGCTTTGATTAAACATGGATTAATCTTTAAATTTTTGAAATCAACTCATTTTCATTCAAAATATCCCCCGATATTAGTTCTATAACAAACTTTTAGATGAATTAAATAACTTGAAGATGTTCAATAATGTCGATTCGAATTGGGATAGTTGTTTAGCAGTAATATATTTCGTCATATAAAAACAGGTCTTAAACGTTATCACAACTAAATAATTCCACTGAATTAATGGATATCATCATGTTACTGTAGAAATGTTTGTATTAATTCATTCATATTGTTGACTTTATTGAAAGGAACAAAGTCCGATGATAGAATCGTTAATTTCAGTAAGAGTTAAAAGACAGTTCACTTTAGTTGTAACTGCAGAGTCCATAATATGATAATATGATAGTATAATCCATTCAAATTCCAATTACATTCCTAAATAGCTAAATGGTAGCGCAATTATTGTTAATGAGTTCACACACGCGTACATCATCATTGTTGTACTCAAATGTAAATAAAAACTCTGTACGGCTACCACAGATTTGTTGGATGTGCACCTGAAAGTTTGAGTCTAACAATACACAATGTCTTAAGGCTTAAAGTTTGATTAATATTATTTGTAAATCTAAACAAGTATAAATACACTACATAAACAAGTGTGTCTTAAGTCATCTGTCACTTTTTACCTACTAGTAAATATGAAATACGATATCAGGTAAGACAAGTTTACCTAAGCTTTATCTGAATAGCATTTCTACATGAAAAATTGGATGGACACTTAAATTTATTTTAACTGATCACATTATTTCTCTGTTTTTTTTAAAAACTTTTTCTTACCTTACTCTAATGTCCTCAACTAACCTAAAAGCTCATAAATGCCTTACAGTAATAAAAAAGTTTTTTTTCGAATTTTGTTTAGGTAAAACAATAATTCATCATCGACATTATTCAGAAAACTTAGAATAAGTGACCTTTAAAGATTTTCTTCTTTTCAAAATTTGACCATAATCTAAAACAATACCATTTAATTATAACACAGAATATATACATACACTATTGATAGTATTTTAACTTTTCAAGTGAGTGCTCTATTTCCGTTCTGTTTTATGGTTCTATGAATATAAAGAATTCATTTTTGTTTATTATATCAAAAAGCCTTACTTAAGACATTTTCATTGAAGTAATGAATCGATCACTGTTAGACCACCATTAAAAACCTGGAAGCACAAGACTGCAGTCTTGCCATAGCATGGGACCCATCAGCAATACCCATCCACGACACCCGCTAGCGAGAATCGAACCCAGGACCTTTGGTCTCGCGCACAAACTTTTAAGCCTTAGACCACTGAGTCGGCATTCACAAATAACCCTATAAAGAAAATCTAATTGTTATAAATGAAATTTTAAGTATCTCTATGTATATGTATTTAGTTTTTATTGTGTTTCTTTAAAAAAATTAGGTTCATGAGTTTATATTTTCATGATAAAAACCATATATCATAATTCTGATATGCATGACGATATTGAGATCACACTGATAATAAAACACATTTACTTCCAGAATCTAAACTTTTAACAAAATCAATATTTTTTTATAACAGTAGCTTTTCGCACGAAATGATCAAACCTGGAAATTGCTTAAAAAACAAAACCCCCCACTAACTATTCAGTCTCCGTTTGGAAATCACATAACAATGTAGTAGATAGATACTAAAGGTTCAGAGACTGAAGACTAGTAAAGAAACAGATATCTTTTTCTATTAAAATTTCAACAGTCCACTAATAATTCTGTATTAACATCATTCTAAATCAAATATATATGCACAAATAATCAGTAAGGTGTATCTGTACCCGTTCGACAACTAGTATTCTCTCAAATATCTTAACCTATTCGAAATAACTTGTTTTCTGCTGCTAATTTTCTGGTAACTTATTGCCAAATAACATAATTATGCGTAGTATCGTTTCAATGTTTACAAGTCATGATCTAGTTAATTAGTCCTCCGTAATTTGAACATTAATTGACTTTGAATAGAATAAATTTTACTATAAGTTCTGAAATAAAACCGAAATCATATGAAAATTACTCATCTATAGCTTTTCATCAAACAATCGTATACAACTCAAGAAATAATTTCAAGCTATTAGACTATAAGAGATATCAAATAAAAAATATTTACATGATTATAACATGTATCATGTTTTTTTTTGAATTTTTTCGGCGAATTTGCTTTAAATTCAGTTGAATAATTTGTCATAAACATTTTGTTTTATTGTACACCCCAGAAAGTAATTAATTGTTGAAATGATAATTTCATTTCATTTCTGAAATAAATAACAATTATTGATTAGATTTTTTCCATTGATATCAATATTAAACATATCAAAAAAAGTTAATTATTTTCAAATTTAAATTTATACATGTCCAAAATATGAAGAGAGATCAAATTGATAAGCAAATCAATGTTTTTATGAAATGAGTTTTTGCGGTTAACAATCAATTCATTTAACTTGTAACTTGTTCGCTAAGAAAAAAATACCTAGTTATCATTCATTCTTAGTGTTACATGTAACGAAATATCCAAATGAATTATTTATTTAAAATTTCTATATTCAATCATTTTTTTAGTAGATTTCATTTTGTTTTGCAATAGAAAAACGGAAACTAATTTTCATGTTAAATTATGTTATCATTTGATTGTGATCACATTATTGCATCATTGGAAAATTTAATCAAGAATTGTTAGACATTGAGAACAAAAATTAAAATAATTTGAAAAATTGTTCGACAGCGATAAGATAAAGAAAAATACCTGATTTTCTTGATGATACTTGACTTTTCATCTCATTTCCATAATTTCTGACAGAATTATTAAGAGATGTTTATGCCTAAGAGAAAATAGTATTAATTTTTAAGTTCTGAAAATTTGTTGCTTCAACATCACAATCAGTGTTAGTTAATTTTCCAGTTATATTTTAGTGAAAGAGAACACAGGTGAGGCAACCGAATTGTATTTAACGAAAATTACAGAGTTACTCAGTAAAATTGGAAAACCATATCGTAAGTCGTTCATTTGCAAATAAAAGTTCATCATATCGAACTGGACTGTTCCTGTTGCAAAACATCAATCCATTGTCACCATTCATGCGTTTCATACAAATTCCATTGTTTTCTAACTCTTCCTTTCTTGATCTTCTCCCCATCTCCCGCTGCCAGACATTACGTTGACGCTCACGTCATATACTACTTATAAGTAGCTCGCACCACAGCACCACAATATAACAGTGAAAACTCCTTGGTAGATTTAAAATATGTAATTTCTAAATCCTCATCATGCACTTGAACATAGCTTATTATTTTTGAGTAAGTTTTTTCCGCATGAAAATTAAAACAGTACATCATGTTGTACCCAGTCTTCAATACGTGATTTTCAACACAAGTAGTCATGTGGTGATTTAAGTTGATTGGAAGTATCTAAAGTGTAGTTTATTAAATATTCTTCAAGCTAGTTTGAGGCTTCCTACCTACTGCATTGAGCTATGTGATTTCCAAACAACGAAATGCAGTAGTGATTTGTTTAATTTAGTAACTTGATACGAGGGAAATAATAAATCAATTATTAATTAGTGACTAACGGGAGCTCTACCTTCAATTCACCCTACAGGTTCTTCACCCAAATAGGTAACATTTGGAAGTGTTATCCATAGTTACGATGT